GGTGGGGCCGGGGTCACTAGTCATTGAGACAACCTTGGGGCAAATCATGAAAACCCCATGTAAAGAGTGGAAAATGATCCTAAAACCCCAGGAAAATGACTTGTGTGGGAGCTCAGTTAAATTATGATGCCTTTCGCCATATTCCGGCGTTTAATTCACTGACCGAATCTCCTGGCTACTCCCTGGGCAGCAAACAAGTTGAGTTTGATTGAATTCAGATTTTTCCATGTTCGTGTCGACAAACATGACCCGCATCAAGCCGTGCATTGGTAATCAGGTTTAAGTGTGGAAATCGAGAAGTCATGCACGTACGGGAACCAAAACTACTGTTAGATGTCACGTATGAACGGTAAACGCAAAGACTAGAAACATGTTTTCTTAAGACATTGTGTTTGTTGAAAAATTGTCGGACACCAATTCCTTTGTTTTGAGGGAGACCAGAGAAGACTTTCCATGGGACGCTAGTTCGGTTTATAGGATTTTCAACTCAAATAGAATAGGAAAAGGAAAGTGTTATGAGGTCTTTGTCCACCCCAACCCTTAGAGGTTGTTTGGATAAGTGGAATATATAGAATCCATTCTCTATAAACCTGGAAAACAGCCTAACTGGATAAAATCCCGTTTGGCTACTTCAACTAATCCTTGGATATAGGAAACTTGGTTTTCTAAAACCTGGAATTCCGTGTTTATAGAAAAACGACCATGAGTCGTTTTGCTAAAAACTCGATTTGCATATACCCAGTCTCGTCATCTCCTACTCCACGCCGTCTGTCCACGCGGGCAGTCGTGCCGGTGTCGTCCATGGTGGTCACGATACCTTCTCTTCTATGCCGCCCGCCATGGTCCCGCCTCCTCCTCCATGACGTCCGTCATGGTTGCACTGTCCGCCATGGTCGCCCATCGTCTCTTCCTCCACACCGTCCATCTTTGCAGGGCTGTCAGTCGTGGTCCTGCGGTGATCACGTTGTTCGCCATGGTCGAGTCTCCACCGAGGCCAGTGAAGGAAATATGCCCTAGAGGCAATAATAAAGTTCTCATTTATATTTCCTTATATCATGATAAATGTTTATTATTCATGCTACAATTGTATTAACCGGAAACTTAGTACATGTGTGAATACATAGACAAACAGAGTGTTACTAGTTTGCCTCTACTTGACTAGCTCGTTGAATCAAAGATGGTTAAGTTTTCTAGCCATAGACATGAG